GTGCACGCTGTTGTGTCACTTATTAATCTGATGCAGTATCCCACTACTGAATTTTCCAGGACCTTTCTCAATCCTAATGCCCTTTGCTGGAAACTTATTTTTGCTGTATCTCCTGCCTGAGGCAGAGTAGCCCATACAGCTGTCAGTTGGCATCTTTGTGAGTGCAGCACAAACAGCTATGCTTTGCATGATAACATAGTGACAAAGCTCTATGCAGTGTCCATTTAATATTTAAAATGAATTCAACATTGGAAAATCTCCTTCTCCCCCAGTCTATTTGCTTGATCCTACCTGCACTGCTTATTTGTTTTTCCACAGGCTTTCGAACAAGTGAAACAAATGTACGCTGAGCTGAAGAGAAGGATGGAGCAGAGCCCGGCTCTGGGAGAGCAGGGCAGCAGGGTGCAAAGCATAGACCTGGAGGCGCAGGTTCTGTTTGAGGAAACTTTGGCCATGATGCTCAGGATGGAAAGTAAGACTCTTTGTGAACTCAGTGTAATAGTCTCATGCACCGGGGAAGGGCTTTTCACTTCCAGAGGCATAAGGGAAAGAAATTCTGAGGAAGACAACACGCTTTTGGCAGTGAGATCGGGTGGATTTGGTGCTGTGCCAGTAAATTTAGGGTTTGCAAGGGTGCGTGTGCCACCGTGGAAGGGACCCCCTGTCTGCAACGCCGATGTGCCCTTGTTTTCCTCTACACACTCGCTTTCATTTTTAAGCATTCAAAACTAATGGTTTTGTTTGGAGCAGTTGTGTTAGGGTTTGGGGTTTTATTTTGTTTTTGAGGGGGAGAAGGGGGAATGCAGGATGTCAGTTTTTCTTGCCAGACCAGAGCTATGTGGGAGGGAGGTGGAGGCTCAGCCTGACCTCCTGGGGAGGGTAATGGCCATGATGCCTCCCTCCTGTCCGGTCATCGCATAACCCTTTCCTGCCCTTTCTCCTCAGCTTTAGAGACGGAAATTCAGGAAAGCAACAAGGCTTTGATGTCCAAGTCGGCCAGGCTGTCGGGCCTGGAGGAGCGGGTGGGAAGGATCCGCGATGCCATCAACAAGCGAGTCGCCTACTATGGGAGCTGCTCCTGAGCGAGCTGCCTGTGCTCCGACGGCATTGCCTTCCTCCTCTGCAGACGCTGACTTGTGTATTTATTCCCATTTTCTGGCTGGAGTTCTCATGTGCCTAACATCTCTATTTTTAGCAAACTGAGTTTCCGTACCTCTGGAAAATAGCTGCACTGAGCCAAAGGAGCAACTCCATGGAGAGGGCTAACCTTGGCTGGACTGGCTGAAGCTGCCTGGTGGTTGGAGGAAAAACGGGGAGAGACATCAGTCTTCCATGGCAAACAAAAACATCCCCAAAGTTGTTATTTCCAGAGGGATTTATAAACCAAGAAATTATTTCTTTTTTTTTGTTTTAGGCAATTCAAGCTCTTTAAGCTGAATTTCACTGTTCAAATTAAAACCGTCATGTCGAGTCTTTTAAAACTTTTTATCTGTGCTGCAGTTAATCCTTAAAACTTGCCGTGGCTTCAGTACTTCCCTTCTAGATCTTTTTTTCAAATAACCAGATCACAGAAATGGAGAATTTTATCTCAGTCATATCTATACAACATACCAATATTTATACAAGGAAGAGAAATGAATCTCGTACTCAAAGGTGAAGTCAAATGTCTTGTTTGACTTTCTGCCACAATCTGCTTATTTACCATGTAACGCTTTACCAGAAAAATACCAGAGGGAGCAGGGCTGCAGACACATGGGGAACGCTTTAGAAGGGACTTAATAGACCGTTTTCACATCAAATTTCTATGAATAACCAAGAGGCACTTTACAAAACAAAACTCAGCTTTATTAAGCAAGTATTTATAGTGCAATTACAGACTTGGAAGCAGGGAACTTAGACCGTGCTGTGATTATTTTCAGACGTATGGAGGTTACTAGTGGGTTGTCTCTCCTTTGGTAGCTGAAGTGAGAACTGCGCAGCCTGGGAAGCTGGTGGATGGTGAACTTCAGAGTGCCGAAGCCTCGGGGATAACCAGAACCCAAGGAGTGGATAGGGTGAAGATGGTAAAAATAACTGACCTGCCACTGAGTAAAACTCTGTATGGCTTTGGTTTATAGGATTTACGTTGTGCAGTGCACTTAGTATGCATTGGACAACTAAACAGTATACAGAAAACAAAAGCTTATAGCATTGAGCGGTGTCGTATGGACAATATACACTGAATATGCTAGCAGTAGCCTCAGACTTTCCCTTGCCTTCTCCCAGCTTTAATGATCCAGAAACACCCCGAGGTCACTGCATTGATGGATTCCTGGGACTAACATGCTGCTCGTCACCAGTCGCTCCCTGCTCTCTGAGATGCTGCTGCCTGCCTGCTCCCGGCAGAACAGAGCCTCCTTTCTTCCTTGCACTGTTGATGTCTGGCTTTGAAGTGCAGAAAAGAGTAAAACAGCCCTTCTGTTTCTGCAAGAGAGAGAATTTCAGCTGAGAATTGAACTTTGTTTCAGTAGACTGCTACCTTCAAAATGTGATCGTTAATAAGCAGCGGCATGGGGGTGAGGAACAGCTTAGATCCCTTTGTGTGCCTTAGTCATAAAGGGTTGTTACATGACCGATCAGTGGAACGGGCCTTTTTGGAGCCTATAGTAGATCTTACTTGCATTTGTCTCTTCTATTCATCCTTTGTTTATTACAGTCCTGTTCGTACAATCTCATCAGTAGCGAGTGTCATAAAAGATGATGGGGGTAGCTCACTTCATGTAGGTTTTGTGAACTATGCTAGCGTATGCTCACCTTTGAGGAACACTCTTTATTGCAGGATCTAATAGCAATAGTTCTTACTGCTCATATATAATGTGGTGCAAATGATAACGATTTAGCTAATCCTGAATTGCTCCAAGCTATGGTCAAACAGGACGAAACTTTCAGGACTGTATTCTGCTCACCTACAAAACGAACATCTCCGTGCTCTGCTCTCTGGTAACAAAGCAGCTTAGACTGACCTGCCTGGACCGAATCTAGGAAAGGGAATGGCCCGCAGGCTGTAGGGGTTGTCCTGCCTACGCTCAGCCATGGACCAGCAGCCTCTTGTCAGCCCTTTGCTCATGGTCCAGCCCAAAAGCCCTGATCCCAGCTGATGAAGCTGTTTGGTTCCAGTGTGATTCCCAGTGAGTAGCTTTGAATAATTGTAGAGTTTGGTATGACAGGTCCATGCTTGGCTTCCTTTCACATGTTCCTTGGGCAGCCCTGTTGTAAAAGTTGGATTCGGAGACACTGGACTGGCCTTAATGGAAGCTGAAAGATGATTTCTTCCTTGAAAGATGGTTTAGTTAAGGCTTTTTCTGTTGCAAAAAAACCCCTGTGAGTCAATTTATTTCACATACAATCACCTTGCTATTTGTACCTTTCACTTTTTCATGCCATAATGGGATTAATTAAAAGCAGCTGGTGATTGGATTGCAGAGCACTTACCGCTGGCGATGCGGGGAGCCCGGTGGCTGCCGCCTCATCACATGACCAAACAGACTCCGGTTTGGCCAGTGCCACAGTGAGAAGAGTGTTTACTGGTTTTCACTGGCACAAGAACTTCTGATTTGAAATGACTGGTTGCGAATGGAAGAATCCGAGACAAAGAAGAAAAAAGAGAAATAGCAATATTTATGATTGTTCTGCAGGTGAATTGAAATTGTGTTTTTAATATAAAGAGCGTCAGCTGCTGAATGCAAAGCAGAGCTGGGTATGAGTCAATGCTGTGGCAAAGGCAGGGTGCAGTCGCTCAGCACCAGCTGGGTATTTGGCATCGGCAGCCTTGACCACAGGCAATTTCAGTTTCTGGAAAGCAAATGTGCTCGAGCCAATGGAGCGTGGCAGTGGAGCTCTGCTGCCTCGGCTCACTGCAGGCTTTGCCTGGGCAATGTGCCTCACCTGATGCTTGTACAAGCATGGAAGACACTTGGCTGGGCACCACTATCCAGCCAGTCAAAGCATTTGCTTCTGTCCTTATTCCTCCCTCCTTTCTACCTCCACCTGGGGCTGGCAACTTATGTGCCAGGCAACTTGTTCCAGAGATGGTTATTCCCGTATACTTTGTTGGGAGTTACGGCTAACGACTTAGATACCTACTGGGATTTTGCAGATTTTTTAAGAAGCACTGTCTCGGAGCAGAAGGACGTCTTTGTTTTCTCGTGCCCCACGCAGGCTGGACTGCAGCCACAGGACGTTCTGGTTGGTGGGCTGTGGTTATCCGGCAGGAGCAGGCGGCTGCCCGCAGGCAGTGGTCCGTTCTCCGAGTGGCTTTGCATCTTTCCCTCTCGCATTCCTGTGTCTTGCTCCAGCTGAGTGGGAGGGTTTGGACACCCCGGCGTGGGGACCAGAGGGAGTGACGCGTCCTTGGCTTGGTTTGGCGTTGCTGTCTGGATGGCCACCATGGGCGTGTTGGGTCTGGACGCCTCCGAGACTTGTATAACAGGGAGGGTGCTTTCAGCCGCAGCGTGACCGTTCATGTGGAGCTTCTTCATGTGGTGCACAACGGCTGCGGCGTTGAAGGCTTGCTGGGGAAGAAGACAAAAACCCCACGGTGAGCCCCCAGCGATGCCAGGCCGGGTAGGTGCCGCGGGCCGAAGGGACCATCTGCCGAGGCGATGGCTGCCCTGTACTGGTTAGCACAAGGTGTGGCAAGCGGGATGTGCTCCTTCCTGGCATAAACACCGCGGTTTCCATTGAGTGCAAACTGCTGATGCTTTTGAAGATTACAACCACTTCTACATGAGGAACTTGGGGGGGAGCAGCTGTAAATTACCCCGCAGTGTGAAATGGAGTCTAGAGCTGAATTCTGAATGTAAGTATTTAAAATGCTACCAAACATGTGGTTCCTATGGCATTCCTCTCTCCAACTACATTCTTACTAAAACTCCTGATATAAATGAAGCACTCATTTATCTTCAAGGCTGAAAGGAGGAAAAGCTGGATTAAGGTCCCCAAAAGATCTGATGGAGCACCCATTTCACTCCCTCAGTATAGAGGCAATAATCCTTTTCCCCTCCCCTTTACTTTCTCGGCGAGGCCTCTATAGTGCAATGTTTGTGGTGAATCTACGGGTATGCATTGCAGCAGGGAATATTTGTCCAAACATACTATGAACAGTAACCGCATACAATTTTCAGGCAGCCTTTGGAGGATCTGAGCTTTGGGTGCTTACCCACACAGCCGAAGCCTTGCTTGTTGCTGGATGGCAGCAACTGGCGTTTGTTAGTGAAATGCCTCTAGGCTCCCACCAGCAAATGACTTACCCTCCATTTGCTCTTTGCAAAGTTTTTCTGAATCTGAGCGCTGACAGATGGGTATATGTCACGGTGAAGGGCTGTATTTCCATTAATCCTGCAGATGGGGAGAGAAGAAAATGGGCTCGTAGGCAGATGGCATTTGTAAGGCATTCCACATTCTGGAGGCAACTAACTGCTTTGTACGTTCAATCAGCAATAATTAAACCCAAAGGAAAAACAGCAACAAAATGTAACACAAACACACACTTCAAAGCTTGGAAAAGCTCAGGATGGGATTTCTTCTTTGCCTCTGTTTATGGAGGCAAATATGCACAAATTGCATCTTGAATTATTCATCATTTTTTTTTCTTTGCACGCAAAAAAGAAACACCCAGGGCCACGCGGAGGCAGACGGTGACGTTAATAACGGGGGCTGGGGAGACCCCCCTGTTCTCAGCTACTGCCGAGCACGGCGAGCGAGACGCGGAGGCCGGTAAATCCCCACGGCCGCCCGCTCCTGCCCCGGCCCCAGTCCTCTCACCATGGGTGCCGCAGGGCTTCTTCACAGGTAAACCTCGTGTTTGGGTTTTTCTCCAGTAAATGCCTGATGAAATCCTTGGCTGTTTGGGAGGGGAGGAGAAGCAGAGAGAAAAGGTTATTTTCTCCTTGTTCCAAGATATGATCCTAATAGGACACGGCAAACGCTAGTGGATAAACATCGCAAAGGTCAGCCCCGAGAAGGAGGTGTTTGTACCGCTTCGTTACTCCGTTAAAGGGAGATGTTTGTACTGAAGGGCTCCAGATGAAAAAATGCGAACTGGAGGTGTACTGAACTTCACGCTTAGATTACACGAATTTCAGTTGAATTATGCAGGTAATAACTCTAAAAAACATAAGAAAGTGCAAACTGAACAGATTTAGAACTTCCCCGAAAGAGCACTCGCATCACTCCTGGGTTTTTTTGGGGTTGTTTTGGTTTTTTTCTTTTTTTTTGCAAGGAGGATTGCGGTTATTAAGTCCTAACGAACCCCCTGCTAGTTTTGTTTGCATGTGTAAAAGATTGATGTTCAAATTATGCTGCTAAGATGCTGGCTTCAGTAAACTCTGTGCAGGCGAGCCCCACTACCAGGTTAGTCGGGTGGAAGGGTGCGGTGGTGGCGGAGACGGCTCGCTGTGTTGCTGAAAGGAAGCATGACGTGATGGGAAGAAAAGCAAAGGGGAAAAGAAAAACACCCAGAAAAGCGAGGTGAAAAAACCCTGTGGTTCCCCTACTTCCAAGGGAAACGTAAGCCTGCTCTGAGCTCACTAATCATTTGTGAAAACCAGGGTTACGTTAACAGAGGCTTCACCCTTTCCCATCCCCACCGAGGCAAGCGCAGGGTGTTCGGGGGGTGCTGGGGTGCGTGGGGGCTCGGCTGGCGCAGGCTCGTGCCCGTGGGTCACCGGGCTCCGCATTGCAGCTCGTGGGAGGGAGCGCGGTGCTTCCCAGTGCCGGAGCCTTACCTGACTCAGAGATATCGTCCCAAAACGGAGACTCAAACTCATAGTAGCCTTCCTTAATCTTTTCAAACAGTTTGGATTCGGTCTCTTCGTAGAAAGGAGGATACCCGCACAGCCTGGAACAGAGCAGAAAGCCAGCGGTCCTTCAGTGCCGCCGTCCACGTCTGCACGGGCCCCTCCGCAACCCGGCCAGGCTGGGCACCCGCAGGCAACGCCAGTGAGTAACAGAGACGCCTGCTCTGTCCGTCCGTCTGTCCCTCACATCTAAGTGTATTGGTAAAGCTGCAGAAAAGAGTTAAAAACTTAACTGCAGCAGCGAAAGGACAAAGCCACAGCTGGCATATAGCTGCATCGTGTGGGAGGAAATGAAACAAAAAGTACCAAGGAAGATTGAATGATATTTGTAGGCAACTGAGGGGAGAAAAAAAAAAAAAAAAGAAGAGAGAACAAAGCATGGGATGAGGCACATAATAGAGAAAATGTGATTCCTTTCATCTCTGCTCCAGTACTTGATTCCCCACGTCCCTTTCATTTCTGTGGTCTAGGGAATCTGTGCAAAGGAAGAAATCAGTGCTTCTGTATTCCCACAGCAAAATGGGAGGTCTGGTATCGCCTCCGCTTGCACTGCCACTCTGCAGAGGTGTATGGAGTGATGCAGCAGCTGGGAAACTCATGGAAAAATAAGTGGGATGCAGTTTGCTCTTACTCACAGGATATAGGTGATGACTCCAATGGACCAGCAGTCTACAGCTTTGCTGTATGGTTTCTGGGTGAGGACTTCGGGGGCTGCGGAACAGGAAAACCAAATGAAAATTCTAAGCAAGAATAAATTATCCGATACTGGGAAAAGCAGTAGTTTCTTGTATGCTCGGCCTCTGAGGTGCCAGTGCCAGTAACAGCCCCATTCACCAGTTGGATCGGTCTGGTTTATGCCATTGAATAGACCATTTGTGCCTGCATCCTTAGGTTTTAACTAGTAAGCGGTGGATCAAGCCAATGCAGTCTAGTGGACGCTAAAATCTCGTTGTGTTAAAAGTATTTTTGTAATTTTTCAATAAATACATGACTGACGCTGAAATATCTTGCTCTTAAAATTATCCTTTTCTTTGTACTTTTAAACATTCTGAGATTTTTTTTTTTCAGTCTTTACACTCATTTGTAATCCACTCTTTATGTGGACCACACCGTGCATCTGAGTAGCTAACATAATTATGTATTTTCTTCCTTTCTGCTAGGCAAGGTACTGTACGTGCACAAATGTTTTTCCAGACAGTCCGGCAGCACAAGCCCATTCCTGCGCCTTGGCTTACCGACGTATCCTGGAGTCCCACAGGCGGTGGACATGATGCCGTTCTGTTCCATTTTAGACAAGCCAAAGTCCGTGATCATGATTTTGGAGTTCTCCTCAGGAGTAAGGTAAAGAAGGTTTTCAGGCTGTGAACACAGAGTGGTCAGAGGTTGAAATTTGTGGTAGAAAAATGGAAAGGACCAAGAGAAAGTCATGGGGCAGAGCAGGCAAAGCCTGCGGTCACGCCAGCTCCCCGAGGCGCTGCTGTTGTGAGGGACAGGTCTCACCTTCAAGTCGCGGTGAACTATTCCGTTTTCGTGGAGGTACTTCACTGCTGTCAGGACCTGGTGGATCACCACACTCGCATCTTTCTCGGTGTAAACTCCTCGTTCCAAAATCCGGTCAAACAGCTCTCCCCCAGATACCCTGTGGAAATGGTAGTTCAGAAAGAGACAGACTGGAAAAAAAATAAAATTAAACAGAGCTAATCATGCTTGTCTGTTAGGCAAGCTCACTTTCTGGTCCTTTTACAACTCCACCTACAGCAGAACAGTTCCTTGGGCAGCAGTTTTTGTGAAGCTGAGGCTGATGGACACTCTTGGATGCGCTTTCAGGGTGCCAGTAAGCATTACTGGTAAACCTAGGGAATTTGGGTAAGGTTACGAGGCAACTCCCGGCAGGTCTGAACCGCAGGCATCCAGCACCGTGGGCAGGACTGCCTCCAGGCTCCGCTACGCAAGCAGATACATGGGTTTGTGTGATTGCTTCCTTTAGCTAAATTTGCAAGTTAGGAGTAGCAGCCGGGTGCTCAGAGCTGATGCCCGCAGTGAGCTGCTTTCTCTGCAGTTGACATGTTGCCCGTTTTCATTTCTAGAAACCCTGCATGGCACAGCTTTAATTAGAAATACTTCTGTCTCTGCCCTGCTAAACTGTGATGAATTAATTTGCATAAATAGATCCTAATCTTGGTTTAGAAACTTACTGCTAAAATGAGCATGGGCCAAGACAGCATGAGAAGTGTCCAGGTTAGCTCAAACCATGCGGCTCTCGCCTCGGTAGTGAGGAGTGTTTGAAGGACACCCATGCGTGCAGCTTTTACACGTGAGGGACCCCAGTGTGCGGGTGCTGAAATACAGCACATCGCCCTGGTCCTGCCACTCGTCTTCCTCTGTGGCCCACAAAGAAATGGCTCTGCTGATACTTACAGCTGCATGACCAGGTAGAAGTGGGTTGTACTCTCATAAATATCTTCTAAAGTCACAATGTTTTCATGCTTTATTCTGCAAAGATAAGTGTGGGTCAGAAACAAACCTGGCAAGGACAAAAGTGGCTTTTCAAGTGGAAAACCCAACAGTCATCTTGCTTTAATCACAAGTGAAAGCTGGCTGGGCTGTTTTGTGGCTGATCTCCCTCGCCCTGCGTGGCCGAGGATCCTTGACACCACTGCGAAGTCCCGTTGGAGCACCGGGCACCAACAGTGGAGGACGAGACCCGTCGTTTTTAAGCAGCCGCCTGCTCTGCATCAGGCGCGTTACTGGGACTGCAAAAGCATCCGCTCTGGTTCTCCGTTCCCTGCCTGCTGCTCTGCCGCAGACCTGGGGCAGTACGGCTGCGCTGGGGTTACCGACCCAGCCGAGGAATGAGAGAAGAAACTTTACTAATCTTCGAATTCACAGTGATATTTATATATTCTTTAAAAGGAAATACTTGTTTATATTATTCTTACTGTAGAGCCACACATCTGAGGGAAGGACATTTGTTCTACTTTACATTACAAGGTATATATACTCACTTCTTCAACACTGCTATTTCATTCTCCAAGCTGCTATCCCTTGTGAGAGGAGACTTCTTGATGCATTTCAGAGCAAAGAGCTTGCCAGTGCTTCTTTGCTTCACTAGGAAAACTTCTGAAAAGGCACCTCTGCAGAAAGGAGAAGTTGTATTTCAGTAGATGCTGCTGCTGTGAACTGGAAGGATGCTCACAGAGAGAAAGAGGAAATAGCAAGAAAAAACAATATGGTAGTCATTTAACTCTAAGTGGATGCTGATTTTAAAGCTAGAACTACCGCTCCAGCAGCCCCAAACTTGGGATGTTCGATGCAAGATTATGCAACATAGAGAAAATTGTGGGGTTTTTTTCTACGTTTGTGTGGAAAAGATTACTTTTGCACAGTTCATCATGAAGCTGTGTTGAGGTAGTGGACAAAAAAGACCCCTGCAATGAAACTAAGTCGTGTTCTTCAGGACCTTCTGTGTTTTAGTCCTGTGTGTGCCGTGCCAGGTTGCGGGGAGGCAGACGGCAAACGCGGTTTTCAGGACGTGCCTGGGGTGGGTGCGGGAGGAGGCACCGTCCATGGTCTCGCAGCTCACAGCCTCTCAAGGAACCTTTGCACCTGAATCCCTTGGGCCTGGGGGATTTTCCTGGGCTAAGTGCAAGCCCAGGCGAGGGGCTGTACCGACAACCACCTTGCTGACAGGGTGAGCTGCAGCTCGGGTGCTCTCTGGGGTTAAAACCTCCTGTGGAAAGGTCTCAACAACCTCCACTCTAACGGGGACAAATTCCTGCTTAATACAAGTCGTGTTTCCTCAAAGCCCCCATCGTCTTAAAGTAGTCCTTCACTCTCCCCCGTCAGCATTGCCCTGAGGACCGCGATAGCCGAGGTGCAGCGAGGAGAGCCCAATTATGTGGAAGTGTGGGCATACCAACCAACGTTCTGTATATCTAAAGTGCAAAATAACCTCAGTTAATAGTTTCATTCAGCACCTAATGCGTGTTCCCTTCTGCAGAGACTGCTAATACCTGCGTAACCTTAGTGACAAAGTGACAATGAGTGTCTTGTACGTTCCTGATAAGGGTTCAGCCAGTGCAGCGATGAGCAGGTACTTATAACATGCCTAAAGCTCACAATCCTGTTAAAGGTTTGTCTTAGGCAGCTGAACACATGTCTCGGGAGAGTGACAGTGCATACCTTGCCAGGTCAGTCCTTAATAATCCTCATCAAATGAGCAACAGATTTTAATTGCTGGCGGTTAAAGGGGACTTGCCACTGAGTCTGCAAAGGGAGCTGGAGGGCAGAGCGAGGAAGGTGGGTGCAGTGGAAGCAGCTTCTTGGTTGGGATGCTCTTGCAGCAAACCCAATAAACAAGGGCAGAAAACCTGTATCTCCTGCAATCCACTATGCAAGGAATCCAGCGTACTGTGTGGGTAGCTCGGCTGAGCACGGAGCCGGACCCATCTGGCACGTGGTGTCTTTGTCAGCGAGCGGCAGCCGGCGATGGCGCGGGGGGAAAAGGGCAGCTCCTCGCTCGGCTCTGCTTTCCTCCTCCTCCAGTGGCCCCTGGGTGCTGCCCAAACAATGGGCAAAGCCCATCGGGGTTGTGAGGGGTTGGGCTGTGTCAGGACTGCTTCCTAGCAAGGAGGGGAAAAAAAAAAGACCAAAACAAAAACCCAAACAAAAAACCCCACAGATTTTTGAGAAGGGATCCCAACAGATGAATTCCAGTCTTTGTTTCACTCGCTAAATGACATGCAATGGTCTTCTCTCTTCTGGCCCAAGAAGCGGGTGGTGTTGGGACCTTTTCCTTGTTTCACACATTTTTCTCCTTTTATCCATATAAACTCTGAAGGCTGTTTCATGGAAATGCCTTTTAAGTTCCTGAGAGCTCTCAAGGAGCAGGCAGGGATGTCCTCGCTAGGGTCTCTAACCCAACAGTGATCCAGCAGTTGTGGGTGCTGAGGGAAGGTGACAGTAAGTTTCCAGGTAGTTTTCGGTCCCAGATCTTCATTTATGTTCTTCAGCTAGCTGAAGTGGTGCATGTGGAAAAAAATCCCGATTCCTAATGCTAAATTTTCCTATTCATGTAATAGTAGGAAATGAACAACCTACAAATCAGATGCTGGGGCATCTGTTCTATATATCTGTCCCAAACAGTTTATAATAATTATACCCCTTATTAAAAAATGATGAATCAACAAGTTGGCTAGGAGAGAACAAAGCTTTTTCTAATCTCATTCCTTTAGAGAAAGCTGCTGGATAATTCAACTAATTTCTGAGGCTGACCAGGAACACAATAATTGAAAATGTCACCGAGATCTGGAGGAGCTATTTTTTTGGGGGAGCGTTGCCATGGGTTCTAAAGTCACAGAAAATTGGGCCGTGACAGAACTCGCTGGTGGAGGTAATTCAATTCCTCCTCCACTACCTTAGAAATGTTTTCTCGTCTCATTCGCGTGAATAGGCAAATTAAGCTGTTAACGCACAGAGAAGTATTGTACAACTTGAACATCCTTGTTCTTGTTTCATCCCTCAACTGAGTCAGGGTTTATGAGCTAAATATATGACTTATTATTATAATCTCTCTCTCAGAGCCATCTCTTGACCTTGCTTGACCTTGCAGCAGCAGCAGGGACCAGTGTACGCAGCAGGAAAAGAGCAAAAATTTAACGAAGCTGCCATGCAGGCTTAGAGGGAAAGGAGGGAAGGGCAGAGCTGACCCGGAGCCGTGCCACGGGGCTGGGTGGGAAGGGACTGCTCCGGTGCCACCTGGCAAGCGTGAGCCGTGAATTGGAGCCACAGCCACGCGGCAGCGATGGGTCGCCCACCCCTCCCCTGGAGAGGGGGGTCTGTCTCTGAGGGAGCCGTTTTCTTGGGGCATTGGCCAGTGCCAGGAAGGGAGTCGATGCCCTGGGCTGGGAAGGCGGTATCTAGAGGTGGCTTCTGTCTGGAGAGCTGCTGGGGTACTTACGATCCCAGGGCCTCCATGAAAATGAATGTTTTTCGGATGTTGCTCGTCTGTTTCTTCCAGGAGCTGCTGTCGTCCTCTTCCTTGCGACCCATCTCCTCCAGAGTGGAAGCAGGGAATGCTGTGAGGAAGAGGAGGAGAGATGGCTGACGTGACAGGTACTCGCATGAAGAACACGACTACCCAGGAGCTAGCTGGATTCAGAATGCTGTGAACGATGTTTGCTTGGTCAGAGGAGTCGGACTTTTCAAGCATGTGACATTTTGTGCTGGTTTTGCTGCTCACAACTCTGTGCTGACCATGTCCCAGCTGTCAGTGTGGGATAATACCAGATCAGCTGGGCAAGAGCTGGTGACCATATGGTAACACTCTCTTGTCAGTATACTCATTTAGCATGTCTTGGCAATTACAAATGTTTATATTGTGCTTTGTATTTAGTGGTTAAAAAAGCACTGCTGAATGGTTGCTAATTTTAACTAAAGCATCCATGACTTAACAGATTAAAAGTTAGGTACAACTAGCGATGGAGATGGAATAGTCGAGCTGCTTTATCGCTCAAATAATAAATAGTTTAAAGAGCTCATGAGTGCAGGGAGGGGAATTGATATAAAACATTTTGTTAATCTGTCTGGTACAGTTTGCGCTGCTGTCATTTTTAATTTTTTGTTAATCGACAGACTGCCTTTGCTCTGACTCATAACCTTCCTGTTGCCTTTTTCTCGCAGGGCTGCGATGCCGCGGTGCTGGCTGGTGGGAGGCTGCTGACGAGGCGAAGGGGTACCCAGTTTTTAGTGCCGTGCCCTGTCCTGATGGCACGTCTCTGTGCTGCAGACGGGGAGCAAGTGGTCCACACCTGCAGTCCCTGCCCGCTCAACGTACGGGGGTGGCGAGAGCAGCTCGCAGAAAATGCAGATTTCTGGAGTCGCCCCTGCTCGGCGGGGCTGAGCGCCTGTTATCGGCGCTGGAGGATGCAACTGCAGGAGATCTGGTGGGTTGGTAAATGCAGCCGCAGAACTCCTGGCTGATCCACACATCTGAAACATGCACCGCTGCTGGCGGGCGGCTTGACCTTGGTCAGGTCCCGGTCCCCCACCTCCTCCCCACCGCTAAGCTCTCCAGGCTGGGCAGCCCCCCTGTATTGCAGACAGGGATGCTGTCAGCCCGGGGGGAGCTCACCCAAGCGGCGGGAGAATTAGTTAGAGCTTGCACGAGGTCTGGGAGGTGTGAAATATTATACAAACATCTAAGTACTGTTAATAAGATCAGGTCTAACGTTACAGAACTGCAAGGTGAAACAGAAGCCCTGTGACTAGAAAAAAATATTTAAGAAAGTGGCTTGCCCACACTATCAGGATACAAAAGAAACGTCTTGAAAACAGGCCCAGGCAGCGGGGCTTGGGTGCTGGCAGCAGCACCCTTGGCACGTGGAGCATCCATCGCACTTCTCGAGGGTGGGAATGGCTGCCCCAAAGCCTGTGCGATGCAGCTGAGCCTTCGAAAGGTGAAGCACAATCTTTAGTGTAAAAATAACTGTTTGGAGAAGGCAGAAGCATTAAAGCAGAGCAAAAGCTGAAAGATCTTGTTTCATGATAGACAGCTTAGATATTGAATTCCCCCTGAACCTAGTTTATCTTCTTAATTAGCACAGTTTGAGGGTTTTGAGCTCCTTGACACAATTTTTTAAAGGTTAATTTAACATTATCAAAACTAAAATTGACTCAATTGTAAACAGCTGAAGGCTTCAGTCCATAAAATCACCAAAGGCTAGCGTGCACTTGACCTTTAGTTACCTTCTGGATTCTGATGCATGTGTAACTCCTAGAAATACAACTCCTTATAAAAACCAGCTGTATCTTTCTGTTCAGAACCCGTGAAGATCAAAAGTTCTTCACAAAAATGCTCATCAATTAGTAGAAACCTTTCTGCCAATATTTTGAGCCCCAAAATGAAGTTTTCTTTTGCAGTCATCCGCCCATCCCACATCTCTGCAGATCTGGAATGTCACAAACCCAACAGTTTTCAGCAGGGACATTCAGCTGCTGGTGGAAGGTGAGTTTTATCCACTTTAAATAAAGATCAAATGCGTGATGCCAGTCTGGTGTTGAATGACGGGTAAAATTCAGATGACCTCCCCGTTTCTTTCCCAGCCTACTGTCAAACAAAGAATATGAGGTAAAAAAAATAAAATAGTGGCAGGTCAGCCTGGCCCCAGGGACAAACCATATTTCAGTCTCCGTTCCTGTGCAGCCCCTGCGCTAAGCACAGCCCAGTTGGCACAAGCTCTTTGGGGCATCCCAGGAGCGGCGCGGTGCTGAGCAGAGGAGCCTGTGTCCCCCCCCATGGGAGGTGACAGTGGGACCACAAACGCCCACTTCTGTGAATTTGGCCCATTCGAGTACAAGTGTCAAATTTGCCCAACATTTGCTCATTTAAGTTCGATTCCTTTAGTACTCTTATGTTTAGTTCCTTGTGAATTCAACAAGTTTCCTATTTTAAAATGGGTTTTGCTCTAAAGGAAGGTGGTATCATGTTTTCTTTAGTCTCCTGTGAATCATCTGTTCATCTTATAGTTCCTCCTTCTGTCACTCTCTGCGTACGGCATTTGGTTTTGCTGATATCTGGAAGAAAGGCTGGATGAACAGCTCTGAACCCTACACGTGTACTCGCTTTCCTGCTTTCTCCGTTTTTCTGTGCCATCACGAGCAAGTCATTCCCTGCCTCCCTTCGCCTTTCTGCAAGGAAGGGGAGTGAGTGCTGCTATTTTGAGAGCAAAACAATGAAATATTTGAATTGCCTAAAATGTAAAGCTGCATATGTGCGCGGGTGATGAATACTTGCCCACCTTCCTCCTTCCTCGCGTTGGATCACATTCTTCTGGGTACTTTTCCCTGTTTTGATACATGGGAAAGTATTTGCGAAGGGGCTTGGGGAGGCCTCTCAGTCCAGCCACGCTTAGGGGATTACGAGACCTGTGACTTTCCTGATGCAGGCTCTGGGAGCTCGTCTTTACTTTGTCTCTCAATCTGGTTAAGGCACTTGTTGCACTTCGCAGCAGTTTGCGAGAATGCAATGTTTGATGTATTTGTTGTCTGGTTTTTGTTATTTATTCAGACTCTGGCCCAACAATGTCCTGACCTCCCTCGGTGCTAGTACACAGCATATGGGCAAACGGGGTTTCGTGTACCTGCTCCCTTAGTTGAAGAAACTTTGCTATTCCTGTGGAAAGTAAACATCATAACAAAAGTTGGGCAAACAGACTTTCTGCTTGGACTGGCACCTTTCCCTGCCATATGACGGGTCTGTCTGCACACTTCCATCGCGCTCCTGACATACTTTGTTTGTCAGATCCATCCTGACCCCTCGTTCACATGCGCATCACCCCCGGCTTGGTGGGCATGTCTTCCAGCCACGGCGGTGGGATGCTTGGACAGAGTACACCCAATATGCACTTGAAAAATGAGTTATTTTAAACACCTAATCTGGAGAAGGGTCCGTGTCTGCCCTTTTCCCCATTCACCTGTTGACAGTGCATTAAGATTGTGTTAAGATTGCATAATAAAATGGAAACGCTCATTCATTAAAGTAGGTAAAGACCTCTGGCGATGAAAATGAAGTCCATAATATTGCTTTAATTTGTTTAGCTTCACTCTTCCCCATCATAACAAATTAAGTGATATGCAGGACTTCAATCTGATGAGTATATGCTGAAAGCAGTAAATAGTTTCAATATTAATGTCTAACCTTTGGGCTTTTCTACAGACTAAGTCAATAAACGTGACTGCTGCTGTACTCTGTCGGATCCAGCAAATGACACATCATTGCTTAGACCATAATGAATGTTATTATGACCTTGCTTAAATATTTCCTGAAGAAATTTGTTCCGCTTTCATATCTCACAGTAACAAATCCATCTGCAGACAGACACTCTGCTTCTGAATGGATATACTGCATTTGCAAAATTATTGTAAGACATGATTAATAGTCTTGTGACAAAGTTAGATGGGGAGGGGGAAGGTACATGCTGCTTTCATGATTTTGCCCTTAGAATTAGAAAGAAGTTTACAGAAAAAAAGAACGCAAAGTCAAAGGGTTTTGCTTTAAAAAAAAAAATACACCAAAACAAGCAATCTGCATGTGAATGAATGAACTGCCAGGCCAGTCTCTGTGTTCAGGGACAAAAGAACAAGAAATTGAAGACATGAGCTCACCATCAAAAACAAATCCAGATTAAACATCTTGTATTCACCCCACCATTCCATCGATTCAAAAGCAGTGCGTTAACTTAGTAGTCCTTGATGAACACTTGCAAAATCACAATTTTCATTATCAATATTTCAGATTCCTTAAAATACTTCTGAAGTAAAATGTTAGAAGGCAGCTTTCTATGAAATTGCTATATATAACGTGAGTGCCGTAGGATACTAGACTAACACTCTGCACAGAGAAGTCCTCCAGTATTTTCCTGTTACTAGATAAAATTCATTTAAAAAAAACCAGGTTAGCCAGAATCCCACCTGCTTCACTGCACGGAACAGACAGCAAAAGCAAATGGCTGTTAAGGAAATAATGTTTTGCTTACCCAAGTCAGCACAAACAAAGCAACTCCTGTTCGCTGCTGCTCCGGCTCGGCTCCCGCCGTCTGCGGGGATTAGAGCCCGCCTGGGTGCTCACCGGCAGCGGGGAGGAGGAGATGGCTCTGCCGTGATGGTAACCAGGCAGCACTTCGCGGGGAGTAAGCTGCCACGAGCACGAGCTGCCCGTGGGTGTGCGTGTGCACGCACGGCGCTGTCGGTGACGGCCGCGGTCCCTGGCAGTGCCGACACGCGAACCTGGGCGCTTCACTGGCAGGAATTGATTCAGCTGCTGCCGGGAGAAACGGTGCGAGCCCCTGCCGCTCCTCGCGAGTACCAAATCTGGTATTGAAACATTCCTGGGTGGAATGCAAATATTATTTGCCTTAAACAAATGACTTCTCGGTATTAAAAAAATGCTCCATTTTCTTTGGTGTGACATTGGGAGTTCTGTGGGGCCGCGCAGGGCGGAGCAGGACTGGGCCGGGACAGGGTTTCCCACCGGGATGCTCCGGCACCCTAGC